TAGCAAAAATACTAAATTTTATCCAATAAAACATTTATTTAGTTGTCAAGGGCTTGTTCGGAACAGGTTGTTTCTGTTGCTGTCCTCTTGGTAACAGGACTCAGACTCAGAACAGTGTATCTGTTAACGTCTTTTCCATTGCAGTACTCAGACTCAGTACTTGCTCTGTTAGTGTCTTTTCCCTGACAGGACTCAGACCCAGAACAGTGTATCTGTTAACGTCTTTTCCATTGCAGTACTCAGACTCAGATCTTGCTCTGTTATGGCGAGTTCACACTGCACGATTTTAGCCCGATTTTTCACTCACCGACAGGTTTTGGTGACCCGACGACTTTGAAAATCGTGCAGTGTGAATTCGGCATTAGTGTCTCACCCCTACAGGCCGGAGACTCAGAACAAGAAGTGTCTTTTTGGAAGGTACCTTTATCTCTTTTTCCATTGAGGAGGAGATTGCATTCTGGCGCTTCTCCATTTCCAGGCTGTGATTGGCTGTTTCCATCAGAGTGGTGGGACACAGTGTGGCCCACCCTTCTTTCCTCCCGTGGAACTTATTTGCATAGTCCAAACACACATTTAGAAAAGTGTCACTAAAGCTTGACCAATGCATTATTCACTTACCAAACCACAACCAGAATACCTCTGGCAATGTTACGAACACATTAAGTCCAAACATGATGAAAGAAGACTGAACTGTCATGCATGCATTAATTTGTCCATTAACACCTGAGTTTGTGTAAGATGTTGCACTACACATTGCTGTCACTGAGAATACTTATTTCTCTGAATAAGTATGAGATGTGTGTGTTGTAGTTTGCATCAGTTTAAGGTTTGAGAACATAGTTATGAATGGATTTGGATGGAACTTTGTGATCTCTCTTTGTTTCACCCACTGCTGCTGCATCCAGAGGTCCTAAGGAAATTTTATGGCGGTCACAGGCCAAAACCTTAGGAATCAGTCTGTTGGCGGGTGAAGGTCAGAAACTGCATTTTGACCAATGAGAAGTCCGGTCCTTCCCGGGCTTTGTACCAAAGGTCTTCTTCTTGCCCTCTAAGAGGTGTCTGGCTGTTGTCCTGGCATCTTTATCTGATGGCGTTGGACAGTTTGCTTATGTTAGTCCACCAAGATCCAATCAAAATGTAGCAAACCTTTGTCCACTATAGTGGTCAGAGAGGGGCCCCGCCATAAACTGGGCCCTGGAATGTGCTGTCCACTACAACTGCAAGACCTGAAGTGGGTGTGTCAGAAACAGGGAGATATACAAAATGTGCAGTGCTGGGGGTACTTCATGGAGAGGTTTGAGAACCACTGTGTTAACCCATCTCAGTCCAATCCACGCATAATAAAGAGGTTGTTTTCATTATAGAATATTGGGAACTGATTTATCCCAATGTTTCTAACTAAGGATTTCAGGTATACAAGATGTGACCATAAACATTGTTATTTTCTACAATTCTAGCTGTTTTGATAATTGATACTCACAACACTAATAGGTTATGCTAAGCTAACAGGTAAGCAAATTCATTTTTTAAGAATATTTTCTAATAATTGAACATTAAAAGTACTAATATCAATGATAACATTTAAATGAATATTATATTGTATAGTATGTAGATCTGTATTTCAGTCCAATGACCGCATTAATTAAGGGTCTGAACTTGCAAATGATGATAATAATGCCTTGCAGTTCAGTAGAACATTGATCTTGTCTCATACATGTGTAAGGAAAAGGAATTAAAAAGAGCATTCTCCAAAATGACTTTAGATTTTACTTTTGACAGTGACTGTTAAGCTTCAGTTTTAAAAGGTTGTCTGATTCATTTTGTGATATGCAGCTCTTGTTACAACCACAAGCACTGTACTAGTATAAACAGACACTTATGTTTACTGTATAAATAGAGTGAAAGATGCAACTTCAGATAATTAAGGAAAGTTTTATCAATGTTGTCAAAAAATTAATTCAGTGAATTACAGAAAGCATTATATGACTTCCAAAAATGGTTGCTAAAAATGGTTGAAGAAACTCCTGACCTAAACCTTAAAAAATGCAGTTTGTTCCCCTAAAGTGCTGTTGCTACCTGATCTGACCCTTTTGTTTGTGAAACCTAATGAAGTCAGGTGTATTCCTTCATATAAAATAATACCTTTACTTAAAACCACTTAATTTAGATAATACAACATAAAGCAAATTTTTAGGTTACATGATAAAATACATTTTACATATAGTATGCGTATATATGTATGGAGGTCCTACTTTATAACCATAATTAGCATTTTTAGCTTCCCTTTTCTTTTTTAGCCTCCTTCAATTCCTATTTCTCAGTTACAGTATAATTGTATTACTGCCAGTTGCTTAATTTCAGTTAATTTATCTGTAAAACAGATATTTACTTACTTACTTACTTACTTACAGTTTTAAGTTGCAGCATGCATCCAAAGACACCCAAGCACACATCTCTTTGAAAAATGTCTCTGGGCTATACACAATTCTACACTGTCAGTCTCTCCTCCACAGTATTAATTACACTGTTCAGATTTATCCTATATCAACCACAAACAAAATAATTAAAGTATCTGAGGGCAGGTCATTGACTAAAATCTTCACAAGTGTCAGCATAAACACTTACAATAAAGCAGCAGTGTTACAGTATGACACAGTTATGCATTTCATAATTGAATATCCATTAAATTAATGTAAAATTTGTATTACATACAGCTATAAAGCAAACATGTTGTAAATAAATACTGTTTCATTTCAAGAGCAATTAAAATACTCTCTTTAAATATGATGCAGTTTTGACTTAAATTAGTGGTAGCGTAGACAATGTTAAGGTTATTATAAAGGTTAGAATTAGATAACAGAAATAACAAGCAATACAAAAATAATAAAATGGCTTTGCCATCATTTACAAGAAGTTCATATAGAGAGTTATGTTGTTATGCAAGGAGTCTCTATATATCAGGATGTTCAACTGTGTGTCCACTAGTGGAGCTTTTGGATTGAAATTTTTTACACTCAGCACAAGACTGACACACTCTGGATGTTGTCAGCACACAACTGTGATCATATACATCAGTCTTTTGAAGTCAATTGACAATTCTGAGTGAGGAACAGACCGAAATTTAATTGAAATTTATTCACATATACTGCAACAGTTACATGCTTGGTCCTACCTTTCATTTACTTTTTTACTTAAAAATAATTCATTGTTCTCAGAAATATTAGCCGACAGTATATATGGTTTTCTTTCTTTCTTTCTTTCTTTCTTTCTTTCTTTATGTATTTATGAATTTATGTATGTGTTTGTTTATTTATTTATGTAATATTTTTTATCAGTTGTATACATTTGACTGAACAGTATGGCACTGTACAGAAAAGTGGTAATTTTTAAATTATTACATGCCTAATTGCTTTTTGTTTTTAGTCTATGGTTCTGAAAACAATTATTCTGAACTAAACAGGCCAACTCTTTATCAAAAATCCTTTGCATACCCCAAAACAGTACTACAGGACTAGATAGTCCACCGAGGGCTTGATTATAGTAACTTGTTTAGTAGTGTCATAACCAAGACTAGTGGATAGAAAGACTGTATGCATGTTGATAACCAAAGTCTGTCCTGCAGGGATTTTGAACTTCTTTAAGAGGAATGGGTATATCATCTGGTTTGGTTCCATTCAGGCGATCTCTTACCTATTGAAACATAAAAGTTACTTTTAGAAATTTTAGAAAAAGGTTCAGTGAGCAAACAGGGCAGTAGATTTAATATCATACTGAATTTGAAACTGATATATGCACGACTGTGTGTGCATTGCTCTTACTTCCTCCACCTCTCTGAACACTCTCAGCAGGTTTCGTCCCAGAGCATCTCTGATCTCTTCATCTGACCATTTACGCCTAAGAAGTTCAGCCACCAGGTTTGGGTATTTTGATACATCCTCTAGACCATCTGGCACCCTGTTCAAAAGCATTGTTTATTAATGGCTATGTATGTAGTCCTGTTATTTGTCTTAAACAATTAAAGGCATTTCTCATTGCATACAATACACATGCTTTGCAAATGTGAAATGTACCACAATGCCATCAAGCTGCATAATCATTAGATTAGAAGTCAGGCAGTCTATTCAGGCATGCTTACCTTGGCACACCATCATAATCTCCTCCAAATCCAATGATACTAGAGCCAGCCACTTTCTTGATATGGTCAAAGTGATCTGAATTTCAAATAGAGAAGTGGAGTCACATATTAATGTCTTGCCTTATATCATAAAGTGCTCAATGAAGAAGTGCTATGGAGGGTAGCAGACACTGAGGTTGCTTTCAAAATGACTCACCAGCAACATCTGAGATGTTAGCAGTTTTTTGGCAGGTAACATAGTCATTATAAAAATTAACCATGACAATCCCTTTCTTTTCTTTCTGAAATAGAAACATTTTGGGAAATTAACATTTTAATTGTACACTCCTTTTATATACACACAAATTACAAACCAGATTTTTACATTTTCTGAATAATATGCGAGACCTTAAGCCTGTAAAGCCTAACATATGAAATCAAATAGTCAGAAAAATCAAATAGTATGATAGGAGAATATGGAGCTCATACTCAAGGAGAAAAAAAAACACATCAGTTTTATTCACATGCCCAAACTGAGCAGAAATATGCAATTTACTGCAATTGCTAATTTTTATATCGGTAAAAAATAAGATGGAAAATAAACGTTTCTTAAAAGCTTATTATCATATTTGATTTATCATATTTGATACTCACAATTTAAAATCATTTTCCTAAAAATAATATGTATGGATAATCAGGTAAACCTAAATGTTTGTTATATTACAATATAACAATATTACAAACAATTTAAAAGTTATTCTTACATTTACTTCCATTTCTAATCAGTAAAAAAGATGTGTACCACGATGGTTTTAGAATTATACTGAAAGGACTTTTATTTGCTAATAATGTATAAACTATCAATCAGAGAACAGAAGTCGTGTTGTAGATTGTTTATAATAGTGTTTTCAGCAACATTTTAATCATTTTGATAATTTAGAGCAGCCTTTGTAGAGTCAACGGGATAGCTCACTAAAAAAAAGAAAATTCTGTCATCATTTACTCACCCTCATGTTGTTACAAACCTGTTTCTTTCACAAGTAGATAATATTGAAGATATTTTGACGGTAGTTATTGACTTTTATAGCATGGAAAAGAAATACAGGTTACCAACATTCTTCAAAATATCTAGGGTGAGTAAATGATGACAGAATGTTAATTTTAGGGTGAAATACCTTTTTCCTGTGCAATTGCTGTAGCTGCTGCCACAATTCTGAAGTGTTTTTAGTGTTTAAGAGTGCTTTTAAGCATTGCTGTGTTGTTGCTAGGGTGTTTGACCCAGGTCTCTGTGATGTTATTTCACCCATAGGCGGAGCATTGTGTAAGGCTGGGCAAGGCTTAGCCTTCCCCTGGCACATAGGTCTGAAATTAACTAAGTCACAGCTGCCGCGAATAAAGTAAAAATGAAATGAAAAGTGTTGATTACGGCATTAAATTTATATATGTTCATTCCACATCATATTTCTTTTTACACATTTACAGCATTGCACAATTTAACCAATCACACACGATTCTGTTGATCTTATGAATGCAATGGCCAATTAGAGGCGTTCAGATTTGTTATCGCTGAAATGTTCTGTTCAGCGTGAGCACTCGCTGACTGAATTCTGCATTCCTGCAAATTCTCTCATCATAAACAGAGTGCAGATGTGGTCTATGTACAATGTAAGTAAGAGATTCATTCCTCATACAGGGTAGACAGCTTAATTGATTATAATGGGTGTTGTTAGAGAGTGCTTAAACTCGTGATAGACTTAAGTCAGTGATAATGTTCTTTACTGTAAATGTTCTTTTTTGTTCTTGTAAATGTTCTCGCATTCTGTATATAATTGATTTGCTGTTGGAATAACTGTGGAAACTGAAGCGTTATAATTAGTAACTTCCAATGTTTTTATTCAACTGTGATCGTTAAATACAAATTCAGTCCTATTAAAAATATTTTATGACACCCATATTGCCTAAAAAGACGGTTTGATTAACGTTGGTGGACTTGAACTTGAAAAATGGTGTGCATTGACGTCTTTCTGTGGTTGAACAACCCTCTACGCACACCTTGGCAATATAATCGCCATTGGCTAGTACATTTTTTTGTTTACTCGCCAGACTGATATACTATTTTTCACACACACACACACACACACACACACACACACACACACACTGAGGACCAGCCAGTCCCAGAGTCTCTGACACACTGCAGGGCCAGTATTATTAGAACATATGGCTCATATTCTTCTGTGTGAAATACATAAAAATAAAAAGTGTGTCTGTAAATGTACTTCTCAAAGAATTTCTTACTTGCAACCTTCTGATGTTCATTCATGTTTATTTCATGCTATAACTAATAAAGAGGGAGAGATGAATGATTCACGTGTCGCTTGAACTGAGGCGCTACAGCGATCTGTCATGACACATTAAAGTTATGTACATAACCCTCGGTTACGTACGTAACCCTCGTTCCCTGATGGAGAGAACGGAGACGTTATGTCGAATTACATATGGGGTCTCACTTGGGAGGCCAATCATCTCTGAGTTTAAGAGAAAATGGCAATGAAAATTGGCTAGTGGATTTTGCATACCTGAGCCACTCCCCGTGCATACAGGTATAAATAGGCGACAGGTGCATCCACTCTTCAGGTTTTACGCTGAGGAGCCGAGAACGTGTCCCGGCAACAGCGAACGGTTCAAGGTTGTAGCATGGGAACATAACGTCTCCGTTCCCTCCACCAGGGAACGTGGGTTGCATATGTAACCGAGACGTTCCCTATCTGTCGGTCACTACGAGTTATGTCGAACGACATATGGGGTCCATGGAAAACGCCACAACCTGAAAGTACATTGCTGCTGGAGAAGGCCATGCTGCTGTTCCGTCCACAAAAAAAGTTTTTGGAAGGCATTTCAACCTTCAGTGAAAGATTGCTTCAAATCTTTCCTATTTGTTCTTTCAGCCTGGCAGAACGATGGGGAAGCGAGCCTTAAGGGAAATGGTCGCTACGGAGACCACATCCTACCCGTATGGAGGTGACATGTGGAGATACTAATATGGACTGACCCAGGGGGCAGTACTACATATGGAATGGGTCTCTGAGGCAGGTCCTACCTTAGAGTAGGTCGAACGACATATGGGGTCCATGGAAAACGCCACAACCTGAACACGTCATAACCCTATGGCGCTGCAATTGTTGACAAGCCGTGGCGTGCCACAAAAGCTACGTTAAGGTCGTAACCTTCCCAAAGCCCCACCGCAAATTCACTGACCTTGGTACCGAAGGGGACCAACGGTGAGTACATTGCTGCTGGAGAAGGCCATGCTGCTGTTCCGTCCACAAAAAAAGTTTTTGGAAGGCATTTCAACCTTCAGTGAAAGATTGCTTCAAATCTTTCCTATTTGTTCTTTCAGCCTGGCAGAACGATGGGGAAGCGAGCCTTAAGGGAAATGGTCGCTACGGAGACCACATCCTACCCGTATGGAGGTGACATGTGGAGATACTAATATGGACTGACCCAGGGGGCAGTACTACATATGGAATGGGTCTCTGAGGCAGGTCCTACCTTAGAGTAGGGATGGAACAACTGCCAGAAAAGACTGACAGAGCGGGTCTGTCAAGGGAAGACACAGGTTTACCGAGAGGGAAACCTTACCGTGGAAGAATACACATATGGGATTACCCGTAGGGAATCAAGCCATATGGACACCTAGCCCAGTACAGGGGCTGGCC